CACACACACACACACACACACACACACACACACACACACACACACACCTGTTGCTCAAGGACAGGGTAAAAACAGCCCCCTAGGCCAGCATGACCTTGTCTGCCCTCAGTTTACAAGTCCTGCTGAAGAATTTACATTTTTTTTTCAGCAAAACTCAACCTTTCTAACTCATTTTCTCAACAAGAATAAGAAAAGTATTTTTCAGTTTACTGTTGTTTCTGAGTTTACCATCTTATCACCTAGCTTTAACTCTGGGTTCATCTAAAAATGGAGCTATAAGCAGGTGAGGGTTGGGGTAGGGAAACACTTTTTAATTCAGAATTCAAAGTAAGAAAGCCATGTTGAAAATCAAGGAAGGGGCTTGGTTACTGTGGCTATGTCATAAAAACAGGGGGAGCAGCATCTTCTGACCTGACTTCAGGGTTCTTTTTTGTTTATTTTTTTGTATTTTTTTATTTTAATTTTTATTTTTATTAATTACAGTTTATTCACTTTGTATCCCCCCCCTGTAGCTCCCTCCCTCCCCCATCTCCACTCATGCTTCTCCCCAAGTCCACTGATAGGGGAGGTCTTCCTCTCCTTCTTTCTGATCCTAGTCTATCAGGTCTCATCAGGAATGGCTGCATAGTCTTCCTCTGTGGCTTTGTAAGGCTGCTCCCCCCTCAGGGCGAGGTGATCAAAGAGTATTCCAATCAGTTTATGTCAGAGGCAGTCCCTCTTCCCATTACTATGGAACCAGCTCGGACACTGAACTGCCATGGGCTACATCTGTGCAGGGGTTCTAGGTTATCTCCATGCATTGTACTTGGTTGGAGTGTGAGTCTCTGGAAAGACCCCTGTGTTCAAACTTTTGATTCTGTTGCTCTCCTTGTGGAGCTCCTGTCCTCTCCAGATCTTACTATTTCCCACTTCTTTCATAAGATTCTATGCACTCTGCCCAACAGTTGGCCATAAGTTTCAGCATCTGCTTTGATAGTCTGCAGGGCAGAGCCTTTCAGAGGCCCTCTGTGACAGGTTCCTAACTTGTTTCCTGTTTTCTTCTTCTTCTGATGTCCGTCCTCTTTGCCTTTCCCTCTATCTGACAGAGGGCTAATATCCAGTACATATAAAGAACTAAAGAAGCTGAAAAGCAACAAACCAACAGAGCTAAACAGAAAATTCTCAATAGAGAAATATCGAATGGCAGAGAAACACTTAAAGAAATGCTCAACGTCATTAGCCATCAGGGAAATGCAAATCAAAATGACCCTGAGATTTCACTTTACACCCATCAGAATGGCCAAGATAAAAAACTCAAGTGACAACACATGCTGGAGAGGTTGTGGAGAAAGGGGAACCCTCCTCCACTGCTGGTGGGAATGTAAACTTGTACATCCACTCTGGAAATAAATCTGGTGCTTTCTCAGACATCCTGTCATACCACTCCTAGGCATATATCCAAAAGAGGCTCAGTACACAATAAGGACATTTGCTCAACCATGTTTGTAGCAGCTTTATTTGTAATAGCCAGGAGCTTAAAACAACCCAGATGTCCCTCAACTGAATAATGGATATAGAAATTGTGGTACATCTACACAATGGAATATTACTGAGCAATGAAAAACAAGGAAATCATGAAATATGCAGGTAATTGATGGGAACTAGAAAGGATCAACCTGAGTGAGCTATCCCAGAAGCGGAAAGACACACACAGTATATACTCTCTCATATAGACATAAAATATAGGATAAACCTACTAAAATCTCTACACCTAAAGAAACTAATCAAGAAGGAGGACTCTGACTAAAATGCTCAATCCCCATCCCAAAAGACTTCAGGGTTCTGATGAGCTTCAGATTTGAATAGAGGAGGAGCTGAAGCAGGAGCAAGGGTATGCATGTTAACCAGCCTTGCTCACGCTGTGGCTAGGTTTTCAGGGCTAGCTCTGTGAGATCCTGGAAAATTCTTACCGTTCCAGGACCAGCTCTATTTCTATCATGATATAATAGCTCCTGCTTAGTTGGTGAGGAGTGCTGTTTCTAGAACACAAGGAGGATGGTTCTGTTTTCTTGGTCTTGGTCACGGCATGGGAAGATTCAGCAGTTGACTAATGCTCTGGTTGTATCCCTTCATTACTCTCACTTTGTCTTCTGCCTTGAAGAGAAGGATTAGCAGATTGACCCAGGTAATCCTCATGTGAGGATGGGGTCTGCATGCAGAGTTGAGTAGGAACCAGATGCATGATTGTAAAGTGGTAAAGAGACAGATACAAAATGAAGGCTGAAACACCGAAGTTCTGCCCTGCTTTTACAGTGACACTGTGTGTGTGGACCAGAGTGAAGAGCCAGTGTTACTTTGTTTTCTTCTTTCTTCAAGAAAAAGAAAAAAATCTAACTCTTAAAAAACTGTGTGCCTTTCAGGTATTTGTAGGCAGGAGGAGGTATCTAATGAATCAGAGAGGTCTTATAATGACTTACATAAAATCATTAACGACTTACACTGTTTGTACCATGGAACTTGTCAATGTTTCCATGAAGTCACATGGGACCCAGAGAACAGTGGAGACAAATCTTGACTGAGAAGACCCTATCCACACAGCTCTAAAATAAGCGCATTTGAAAAGTCCATGCAACATCCCTCCACACACCTTTGTCACATGTCTCTGTAACAGGGTTATATCAGGAACTCCACCATGCCTACTATGACTCAGAGTAGAAAAGGCACCTTCCCAGAACACTGCATAACACTGACTTTCCTGCAATGGTGTCACACTCGACCTGCCTCACGATACTCTGACCCATGATGTTTGTTTGGAAACAGCTCACGGAGTCCATTTTACCTTTAGACTTCTCTCATAATCAGAGTCTTGAGACACTTTTATGATCCTTCACAGCCTGCGGATCCCACAATACACTTCTCTGCCTCTTCACATAAACCTGTTTCCTTAAGGGACATTCTCTCTGTTTGTATTTTACATTTATAGTACTTGGTGGTCTAGGACATTAAGGATGATAAGAAGTCAAAGGACTGTAGTGAGCCATGGGAGCAGTGTCTTCTTAGCTTGGGCTCCCCAGTGTCACCTGCAGGCTTATGAAAGCACAGGATGCTAAGCCCCCCACCCCACCCCCGTGGCCTGGGGCAGAGACTAGAAAGTGTACTGTGACAGGCCCCAGGCAATGCTAATATTGCAGGCCAGGAACTGAATTGAGGAGCACTGCCCTAGACAGTAAAAAATAGTATTGTTCAAAATGTGCTTTGTGAATACAATATGTCATTTTATAAGCTTCGAATGTGAACATGTAGTGAGCTATTTTTGGCCTTGGAGTTTTTCTGTATGAATTAAGTTTA